GATATTTGGGTTAAACTGTTCTGGAACAGTGTTGTAAATACAACTTAACCACTGATTTGTAGTCGTGTCCCCTTTTGGAAGACCAAACAGAGTAGTTTTGCTTTCACAACGAAACACACGGCGGGCTAGAGTGAGCGGAGGCCGGAGGCCTAGAGTGAACGGAGGGCGGCGGGCTAGAGTGAGCAGAGGCCGGCTTGAGTGAGTGGAGGTGGGCGGGCTTAAGTGAGCGGAGGCGTGCGGCCTTGCGAAAGCCGATCCGGCGATCCACAGCACGAAGTTGATGTATTTCATTAGTGACCAGCACGGATCAGCTCTAGGCATGACGAAGCGGATATCGTCCTCTTTTGGAAGGCCAAACAAAGTAGTTTCGCTTTCACAACGAAAAATTGAAATCGCATCATATGACCCCTTTAAAAAAATCTTACAACCTCAAACTTTTAAAAGGTAGTGTAACTCCACATGAGGTCAGGTCATTGTTCTAGATGGTCAGATCACAAAAAGAGAGTTCAACGACTCAAACTGACTGTTAAAGCCTGTGTTATACTTTCCGCATGAGCAATCCGGACGCGTACATGGACAGCGCGGACGCGGACTACTTGTATTTATACTACCGAAAGCATACGCTGATGGTCCGCTCCGCGGACGTGCTCCATACATGCGCAGTAGATCGCCTTGAACAGTAAACAAACATGTGAACAAACAATTGCCCACAGTTATTGCACATCTGGCTGTCTTTATCTTGTTTTATCGACGGATTGTACAGGTTCAAGTAGCAACGGTCTTATTCACACAGCCTGCGCAGTTGGTGCTTTTGTAGCCTACTGACTGCGCGTAGGCTACAAAAGCACCAACAAAAAATGGGAGGCACGCGGATGTCCGCGCGGAGCCTCCGCGCACACTCTCCGATGATGATTTTTACGTCACGCATACCATAGCGGACACTAGCGGACTCGCGCACATGGAAAGTATAACACAGGCTTAAATCTTTGTTAAGGATGTAGGTGGAAATATCTAACCTAAATTCACAGGGTTTATTATTGTAGCTCATTCAAGATCATTGACTGTCTAAAATGAAATGATTCAAGGGGATATCAAATCCTGAAGTGCCAACAAACACTGTCCTTCATGACAGCTGGATGTCAAACCACTGTGTAATAGCAGGTATGAAATGAGTAACTGTTCGACAAGAACTCTTACCATAAATAGGCCTCTCATTTGTAATGAGAACAGAGAGCCCGTCTCGTAGATAAAGCGCATCGCACACAGTCATCTACCTCGCAGCTGACGAGAGGCTTCTGATACTACGATAGACAGGTTGGGCGTAAACACACATATTAATACATTAACAGAAGGGTGTGCGGGAACGCTCAGCGCATGGTAATCTGGAGCGACTGGAGCGGGATTGATAAGATTCTCTCCCGCTTCCCGCAGCGCAGGCACCTCTGTTGGCTGCCGGCCAATCAGAGCTCATTCCGAGGGCCTACATCAGGAGAAAAGAAAGCTGCAGGCATGGTGTGTCTCCACCCCCTGGCCAAAAATACACAAAATCAGAGTTTGCATTCGATATTTCAGACAGCCGCTGTCAACATGATTCACTCCCCTGTCAGCTGGTGCAGAAATAAAATAATGAAATCCACCTCGAGGTACAACAAAATTGTGCCGAGGAGAATATTTTACGGGGC